GGGAGCCGGGCCTCACTGGGTGTGTGCTCACCAGCAGCCCACCATAGGCAGTGGGCTTCCTCGTATGGGAGGTGTTCCTGCCCAAAGAACCAGCACCAACCTCGGCTGGACAGGTTTCTCAGGGCTGAAGAGGGTGATGGAGGAGCAGCGGGGATGCCCTGGAAGAGACTCCTTCCCTTCCAGCTCGGCCACGGGCAGCGACAGGTTCTCAGCCAGGTGGCTGCGGCCTGGGGGAGGCCATTCTCGAGCAGGAACCCGTCTGGGGCCACGGACAGCGGGTGGAACGTCTCACAGTCACCTGGCAAGGTCTGCTTCCAGACTCGCCCTTGGCAGTCTCGGCCTGTTCTTCCGTCAGCTTTTCCTTCTCTTTATCACAGTGCGCCTCAGGCCAGGGCTTTTCCAGCAGCTTCTTCAGGACCAGTGAGAGGGAGCCAGAGCCCTGGCTATGCACCGTGGCCTCAGGTGTCTTCTCTTCGCTCCGCCTTCTGGGGACAGAACCGCCGACCCACGATGTGGGCAGGTACTGCGCAGGCGCTGCCTCCAGCTCCTCATCTCAATGTGTCCGACGACGCTCTGCAGTGTTAATTTTATCTTTCTATAAGGCTGTATATTGTCACCCTGCTTATATAACTCATATACAGAGTACATCAGGAGAAACGCTGGACTGGAGGAAGCACAAGCTGGATTCAAGATTGCCGGGAGAAATATCAATAAGCTCAGATATGCAGATGACACCACCCTTACGGCAGAAAGTGAAGAGGAACTAAAGAGTCTTTTGATGAAAGTGAAAGAGGAGAGTGAAAAAGTTGGCTTAAAGTTCAACATTCAGAAAACTAAGATCATGGCATTTGGTCCCATCATTTCATGGCAAATAGATGGGGAAACAGTGGCTGACTTTATTTTTTTGGGCTCCATAATCACTGCAGATGGTGACTGCAGCCATGAAATTAAAAGACACTTACTCCTTGGAAGGAAAGTTATGACCAACCTAGACAGTATATTAAAAAGCAGAAACATTACTTTGCCAACAAAGGTCC